AGGAAAAGAAGCAGATTGAAAATGTAGTAGAAATTCACCACTGGGCTAATCTTCTTCAAGAGTCTCTCAGCTGTCACCCCTGCCTCCTCCTTACATGGCTGACGTCACCCCTGGTCCTCCTTCCAGACAAGTGGTCCTTTCTCTGGTCCAGATAATTAGCTTCTCCAGGCACCCAGCAAGGCCTGAGCCCAGGCTCTCAGGGAAGACGCTTGAAGCACCAGTGTTTTACTTGAGCTACGGGACTGATGCGCCGGAAATAAAAGTTTGTGTGTGGATGTGTGTTTTGTTGTTTGCAATTCTGCATATCCTGCAGTATCTGAACAATGGGTCCAATTCAGCCCTGGCTTTGTCACAAAAATCGCCATGTCTGTGGAGAAGGGCCAGTGCCGAACAGGAGGCGTGAATACAGCGCCTCATGCTCACAACAGTGCCTTCGTTTTTCTTTTTAATTTTGAAAATGAACTTTGCTCTTTCAGCCCATTAGCATGTGTTTGCAAATATATTCTAAATGCACACCCACTAGTAAACTGCACATACTTTTTCTGAACACTGAAAGACTTTCATGCATCTCGACATCAGCTTTGCTCTGGGGCATCTTTACAAAGAGAGAGGTGACTTCCTGGGGCGCAGAGGAATTATATAGGCAGAAGGGGCGTTAGAGATGTTCAACTTGTTGCCACTAGGGAAACTCAGTGGGATGGGACGGAACATACGTAGAAAAAGATCAGCAGGGTTTAGGTTCCGTTTCTTAAAAAGTTTTCTTTTTTTTTTTTTCTTAAAAAGTTTTCAATAAAGATTTCAATTCTGAACTGAATGGATTCATGACATATACATATTTTTCTTTAAAATGCATACATATATGATTTTTATCAAATATATATATTTGGTCTTGGCTCATATTTTCACAGAATATCTATGCTTTTAGTTCAAGGCTCAGCAAATACATTTCCAGTTAAATTTCTTGATATTTTTTACAGTGTGATGTTAGTTCTTTCTTGTGTAACCTTAATTCATTCTCTAGCAACATCAGAGCCATATCTAGTGGGACGCAGGGCGGGACTCACCTTGTGTGCACAATTTAAGGAGATGCCCCAAACTCAGGAATTAAGATAAGGCAAATCACAGTGAAATAATCAATGGCTGTCAGGGGACTGGGGGCAGAGATGGAGAGAGTAGGGCATTTTCTGGGCAATAATAGAACTCTGTCACTGTCATTTTTTTATGACAATTTTCAGGGATGAGGTAAATGAGCTTTCTGCATAACTATCCTATAAAGCTAAAGTTGTTCCAAAACATAACACCTATTTTTTTAAATTTCAGCAAACTATGGCCCGTAGACTAGCCACTGTTTTTGTAAATAAAGTTTTATTGAAACCAGGGCCAGGATTAAGGTAAGGTGAGTGAGGTAAAATTAAGCAAATAATGGATCAAATTCTACCTTTAAAATATTTATAAGAATGTAAAGGGGTGAAGAGACTAAATCTTTGAAAACTGCTGCTTTCAGGCATGTTGACAGTGATCTTCCACATAGGCTAACTGACTGATGACATCTGCCCGATTTCCTTATCACCAGAAATTCTCAGCCTGGGCTCAAAATAATAATAATGAAAAAAAAAAAAACTTCTCAAAAAATTATTTTTTAAAATAAGTTTGGTTTGTAAAAATAAACTTAAGAAATTAATGCAAAATATACTAAGACCCATGCTTCCGTGCTGGCTCACTATTCAGTCTTCAGAACTCTTTCCTCTATGTATGCATGCTCAGCCCCATGTCTTGTCAGGTTTAGGGCTTTAGTAACTGCCACTTTTCCTCTCCAGGCAGACCAGAAAGCCTGTCTGGACCTGTCACTTCCTCTAAGCTGCTTTGAGCATCATGATTCTCTCACCAACAATTTACTGGGAACTCTGATGATTAATTATGGGAAAATGTATCCATAAGGTAAATTTCACCACACAGAAATGAAAATATTTGTGTTAGTGGTAGAATTGCATTCCTATGTTCTCCAAATTGCTTTTATTAATGCTGAGACATGTTTGAAAAATAGAAGGATTGCTTTAAAAAATAAAAACTAGCCAAACATCCACAGTAGGCTTCAAAATGTTCATGGAAAAAAACTCCATTAACTTGTCATTCCATTTTTCCACAAAGTTTTTGAAGTTCCTCATATATTCTCCCAATAGAAAAACAACAATCCTGCTCTTGCACAAGTAAGTTGTGTGGGACCAGCAGCCTCCACAACTGGATGGGTCCTAGGGCGTGGCTGTGTAATTGAAGGGTAAATTAAAGAAACATCAGACAAGGCATGCAAGGGTTCACCTCTTCCATGAACTGAACTGGAGAGAGGGTATGAATTCTCTTAACAGGCTTATATAATCTCGGGCATGCAGGCCACATCATATACACATACATAACAGGAAGGGGTTGTATTAGAGACACACATGATAGAAAGGTACATACATAACAAGATGGGCTGGTTCTAAAGTTAAGATATTAGCCTAACCTTCTTAGAGCTGACTTGGCCTTAAGTATCCCTGAGCTCTTCCCCAGGGTAATAATCTATGATCCTTATCAGAAGGGAGAGGGCCATACTTAGGGTTGGGTAGTCTGATTGCTTTTGATGGCAGATGACCTTCAAGTAGTAGATAGCCTTCAAGCTTATATGATAGCAACCAGGTACTTGCAAGCAGCACCTTAAGATTGGCATTATTGGTGATGGGGCAATCATGGGGAACAACTTTCCTTAGTCTAAGAATGTGACGGGAATGCATCTCCAACTCACAAACGTGAAGGCCTCCCTCCAGAAGAGTCTTGGCCTCCCAAACTCCTTAAGATCTGAGCGTAGAATTTGTCCACATACACTCTCTTCCCGGTTCTCGGTTTTCCACAGTAAGTCTCTGTAGTAGGTAGAATAATGGTCCCCAAATATGTGATTGCCTTGAGTTAGCCAGGTGGACCCAATGCAGTCACCAAACCCAGAACCAAATTCACAGCCATTGAGCCGATGTCAACTCATAGCGACGCAGTAGGACAGGGTAGAACTGGCCCTGTGAGTTTCTGAGATTGTAACTATTTATGAGAATAAAAAGCCCTCTCTCTCTCTCTCTCTCTCTCTCTCTCTCTCTCTCTCTCTCTCTCTCAGGGCAGCTGGCCCTTAAAAATGGAAGGAAAGGGCAGAAAACTTCCATCAGAGTTGAAAAATGACTATAAGAGAAAATCCTGCTGGGGGAAGAGAGCCAAGAGCCATGGAATGTGGGTGATCTTGAGAAGCTGGAAGGGCAAGGAAACAGATTCTCCCCTAGGGTCTCCAGAAAGGAACACAGGCCTGCTTTTAGCCCTGCTTGAAGTCTGATGAGAATAAATTTGCTCTGTTTAAGCCACTGAGACTTGTTGTACCATATATACTCGAGTATAAGCCGACCCAACTATCAGCCTAGGCACCTAATTTTACCACAAAAACTGCATTAAAAATGTGCTGAAATGCTCGGCTTATACTCAAGTATATACAGTAATTTGTTATAGTAGCAAATAGAAAAACTAAGGCAGTCTCTGAAGCTATCCAACCAAGCTTGGCATGCTTCACTGCCCAATAAAGTAAGCAGCCAGTTCACCAGGGTGGGAACTAACAGTTCTCCTGGCCTTACTCGGTTCCCCAGCCCACTTCTTGGTCATTGATTCTTTCTTTCCTTTTTTTTAAAGTATGTGTTTTACACACACACACACACACACACACACACACACACACACACACACTTGCCAATTCCAGAATTTTCTGGTGTGTAAGTCAGTAACATTGAAAGGTAGCCAGAATAGGGACAAATGGGGGATTGTCTCCCCCTAATTCCTGTGCTAAACTAAAATTAACTGTCCATGCCAAAATAAAGGGGTTGGAAAGAAATCAGGCACACTAATTAGACATCTATGGGAAAACCCAGAACTGACCATACTCAGACCCAAGTCACCTAGGCGCAGGTGGGGGAGGTCCACCTGGATGCATAGAGTAGGCACCAGCCACATGACATCACGCAGGTGCGCTTAAACTCAGTCAACAAAGTCGGCCAATAACCTCAACACCCCCTCTCCCCCGGACAGTGGGGATAGGAAGGGGTAAGGCCATATGCAGGCTGTGGGACCCTTTATCCCTTTCGGGTGTGCACTGCAAGCGGAGGGAGGGTGGGAATCTCTCCAGTGTGCGTGAGCCCTGGGTCCCCACCGGCATTCTCTTGGCTCTCTGGGAATTTCCTGCACTTGGTGCTCCTATTCAGATATTCTTCTCACGTGTTTTTCCATGCTCCCCTGAAATGGCCATTTTTAGTCGCAATCTTTCCCACGCCCCCCCCTACTCCACGGCCACCCCCACCAATGCGGCCTTGTATGCTTTGCAGAAATAGTGTACTGTAATACCTGAAAATTCCCTTTTCCTCATAAAAGTTACTTGGATCTACAAAAGTGCTTCTGCCACGTGAATTCTTTCAGTGTTGAGAAGCAAGAATTGAGATATAACACCCCAACACCTAACATCACCAATCCTCACATCATGCAACTGTCACATATAGCTCCTGGTCCCTGAAATGTGATGCCTTAAGAGATTTAAAAGACCTACAACTCGCTAGGGAGATCACATTGACTTCTACGAGAGTGGGACTTTGGGCCACACTTGGAGAGACATTCATTTCTATCTACTTGTAAGGAGCCTACCATTTAGGTGTTTTTAAAATTTTAATTCTAATTCCTAATAGATAAAGATGTATGTAAGTTTTCAAAGACAGCTCAGCCACCCAGACAAGGGTAATAGGTAGGAAATGGCCCAGAGGACATTTCTTTCATGTCTACATCTTAAACGGGTTACAGAATTAAACCAGATAAACTCTGCATCGGCTGTTTCCTACTTGGCCAGGGCTTCAGGGCTCTGGGACTGGGCAAACGGAATCCAGGCATTGTATAGATTGCTCATAGGAAGCTATCCATCGCCCTTGGGAGCCACCCCTCCTTGGCCTCCCCACCTGTTTCTTTGTGAGGTGCTGACGTGCTGGTCCAGGGCGTGTCGTCTTCGAACTGAACCCAGTTGCTGATGGCTGAGGCCAGGTCAGGAGTGGGCTGCTCGGGGCTCCCAGGAGCGGGAGCCACTGCAGGGACTAGGGCTATCTTCTCTGAGGAGTCATCCTGCTCCGAGGGGGAAAGGTCCCGGGAGCCCCCATCAACAAGGGGGTTCTCCCCAGAGGAGCTCTCGGACCGGTCTGAGGAAGAGGACAGTCCTGCCAGGTGCTCTTCGGGGGCGCCTGAAACAGAGGACGGAAACCACCATCACAGGAAGGAAGGCCACTCTGCAGAATGGATGGGGGGAGGCAAAAGCCAAGGGCAGAGAGAGGGTGACTGCAGGGCTCACCATGACGGTGGGTGAGGGAGACGAAAGAGCCATGTCTTTACTAAGGACTGTTTCCTTAACAAGGTAAAAAATCCTGGGTGTTGTGAGAATGATGAAGTCAACATATGGACTAATGTGCTGGACACAAATGACGCATGTACGGATTGTGATGAGTTGTATGAGCCCCTAATAAAATGAGTATTTAATTGAAAAAAAAATCCTAACCTTAGCATATCCCCAAGTCAATATCTAGGCAAGCTGAGGCCAGGAATATTGTTCACTGTCTTTTCCCCAGCTTTTACAACGAAAATACCTACAGAGACCAAGCAAGAAATATAACTGAGCCGAGTGGACCAAAGGAAAGGCAACAGGGACGGGGAGAGGCAGTGGCTGAACAGGAAAGTCTCAATGTGGACTGAATTCAAACTCTGGACTCTGGGCGGCCCAAACGACACAAGCCTATAGGTTCCTCAGTGGAATCTCCGCGCTAGTGACGGCCTGAGTGGGAGATGCGACAAGCTCCTCCTTTATATCCCTTGCCTGGTCTGGAGTGGACTTAACATCTAACAGCTTTAAAATATATATATATATTAATGATAATAATAACTTTCTTGATTGCAGTGGTAGTTACACATCTCTAGACATATGTCAAATTCCCTCAACTTATATAGCAAAATAGGTCAAATTAACAGTATGGAAAAAAATTTTTTTTTCTTGAAATCAAAGAATTAAGATGAAACTTCTCTGCCATCAGGAGCCCAATAGGTCTAACTGCATACAACCAAAGCCTTTACACATAAGCCCACTGCCATCGAGTCGATCCTAACTCATACTGATCCTCTATCAGCCTTCCCGGGCTGTCAATCTCTATGGCAGCAGATTGCTTTATTTTTCTCCCGCAGAGGAGCTAGTGGGTTTGAACCATTGACCCCGTGGTTAGCAGTCCAATGCTTACTGCCACAGTCCCGCTATGATTCCTTTAAGACATAAAAACCCAAACCAAACTCACTGCCCTCTAGCTGATGCTGACTCATAGTGACCCCACAAGACAGGGTAGAACTGCCCCCGTGAGTCTCTGAGACTGTAACTCTTTAGAGGAGTAGAAAACCCTGTCTTTCTCTCTTGGAGCTGTTGGTGGTTTTGAACTGCTGACCTTTTGTGAGCGACCAAGCACGTAACCACTTTGCCACCAGAGCTCCCTTTAAGACATAACAGGGGAGCCACATAGGTAATTTTTAAGTTTTCTAGTAGTCACCTTAAAGAAAGGAAAACCAGGCACAATTACTTTGAAATGTAATCAATATAAATCAGTGAGATATTTAACGTTTTTAAAAAAACTAAGTCTCTGAGATCCAGTGTGTACCTTAAACTTCCATCCCCATTTGAACCTGCCACAAGTCAAGCCATAGTGAGTAGGACACCCGTCATCACACTTTCCAAGTGCTGTAAGGGCAGCAGGGTCGCTTTCGGCAGTCGGAAGCTGGAATCAACCACAGTGGCCTTGGCAGTGGACTCGAATCCGCTGACATGGCTCTGTAGACACCTTTGGAGCCTACGCAGATATTTATTCCTGAGCACCAGTTCCCTGGGTGTCAATATTCAATGGTGTGTGGTTCTAAACACTTTACGTACATGAATTCATTTACTACAACAACTCATAAGGTAGGTACTATGATCCTTCCTGCTGTACAGAAAGGAAAATTCCCACACAAGGAAGTTAAGTCTACCCAAGAGCATGAGGCTCCTACATGGCAGAGCCAGGCCTAGAACCTGAGCACTCTAGCTCCAGGGCCTGGAACGCTTAAGAATTTGTCCTTAGGTGTCGCCTCAGAGGGATCCTATGCACAGAAGAATGAAATGCCATCTGGTTCGGGGAGCCATCCTCATAATGGTTTCAAAGCTGGGACAGTGTGTCAGTCCCTCTCCTGGACTGGCTTCCTCTTTTTTCTTAAGAGCAAGGCTGTGAACTTGAGAAAACCCAAATTGCTGTTGCGAGTAACAACTAAAAAGGCTAAGCGTGAAGTACTTTGTCAACAGGAAGCTGGGGCTCCTTGGTAAGGAACTCAACATTTTCTGTGTTCCTTAAAAGTCCTTAAGATGCGTTCTCCCAGCTTCTAGGAAGAAGAATTCATGCATCTTGGGAAAATGACAAACTGGCTTTTTTTTTCTTTTTGTAATAAAATTCACAGGAAGAAAGGCCAACTAAACAACAAACAAATGTGGCTTTCTGTCAATCTTGTCACTTTAGGAATGGAAAGTAATTCTTACCATCAGAAGAGACAAGATAGGGCGGCTCCTCATTGAAGGAGACCCACTCCGACTGGTGAGTGGCAGTCACATGGTCCAAGGTCGTCATGTTAGGAAGGAGCTGGTCATCTTCACACGACTAGCCTCAGGTAGACCCCAGCTCACGTCTGGGGTGGAGGATCAGTGGATTTGGGCCTGGGTATGGCACAGGAAGCGTGCAGGGCACAGCCTGGTGAGCGCCTCTTGTCTAGTCAATCAGTTAAGCAGAAACCTGTTTTTAGAAAAATAATAATAAAAATTTAAAAGATAATTATAAAAAAATATTATCGCATGATAGCTAATCCACATAAGTCTAACGCTTTTGGTGTTGCCCAGAAGAGGGCGTGGCAAGTTGGCTTCCCACTTACCTTAGTTCTCCTTGCTGCTGTCTTGCCCCCACCTCTTCTACTCAGAATATCAAGGCCTCTGGATTAGTTTCATAGCAGATTGGTCAAGCAAACATGCACATTTTAACAATAAGATTCCCCAATCTGCCCAACAGTTGTCTCTTATAAATACATCCATTTAGAAATACCTCTATGTACAATGCCATGCTATCATTGTACAGCAAATATTAAAGCTTTTCAAAGTGCTTTCACTCTCTTTGGCCAGATGGTGAGATAAAAGCAATTTCTTTTCCATTAAATATGTGTATTCTCTTCCCTTAGGCAGGTAGCTCTTTGCAAACCTGATTTAGATCTTTGGCAGAAATCCAAAAGTTTCCAGCTGCTGTCTCCAATACTGGTTTACAACACCAAAAATATAGGCAGAGTCAGCTCACTCGTTTGTTATAAAGGAAGGGAGGAAGGAATACTGGCTTTGGTGAGTATTCGTCCTTGTAATAAATTTCTCTGAAATTGTGAATGTCTCTGAATTAAGAAAACACATTGTCCTTTACTTGCATTGCAATTTTGCTATATGGAGATAGAAGGATACTTGAAATTTAATTTTGTGAAATTTTACAACTTAAAAAAAAAACACCTTGGAGTAATGTGATTTAGTAAGATCTGAATTGGTGTACTTCCACAGAAGAGCATCTATCCACCAGAAGTCTCCAGTCCTCTTAACGCCCACAGTATTCATTTTGGTTTCTAAAAAAGCTTAGCTCACAGCTTTCCAAGTGATGTTCCACAAAAAGAAACTAGGAAAGTTTTACTACAGGCCATTATCTTCAACAAATAATCGATTCTGGAGAAGCGCTCAGTAGAGCAATTAAAAAGCGTAAGGTAGGTGTGTATGTGTGTGTGATATATTTAAACAATTAGTTTCACTGTTTACACACTTTCTAAAAATCAACTAACATTTATTTACAGATCAGAAACACATTTTCATACTATACTTCATTTGATTCAATAACCATCTTAGTTATCTAGGACTGGCAATACTGTCATTTTTTTGCAGATCAAAAAAAAAAAAAAAAGTGAGGTAAGGCTGAGGGAAGTTAAGTGACTTATCCGACACATTTGGTGTTCCCAGGACCTTGTTCAGATGCCTAGGGTACTTCCTCCTGGCTTCTAAGTAAAGGAATTCCAATGTCTCGGGAAAATGACAGACTTTTTTTGGCTTTTTGTTTTGGAAATGAGATCCCGACCCAAGAATGGCTAAATAGAAGCCAGTCCAGCTAGGCAGGTGCTTGCAGCCAGCTAGGATATAGTAACGCTTGAACCTAGTCTTCTGATGCCAAGATACTTTCATCTTTAAGTCATGGCCACAAAAAGTACTAACACACACACACACACAATCCACCAACTAAATCACTTTACAAAAACAAATTACAATGGAACCATAATTATCTCATTTATTATCTTGTGGAAATTCTCTATGCGGATACTGCCAGGAGACTCAAACTCTACAGCGCATGACAAGCCCAGGAATTGCTTCTTCACTCCAAGGTCCTCTCCCGAGCTCTCTGCCGCCACAGGAGCAGACGTGCACAGCCTCGAAAGTTCAATGTCCACCACCCCAGTCTCCCCAGAGCACAGCATGGAGCGCACAGACCTGACGAACCGTTCCCACTGAATTCTGCGGGCAACGTCATTTCCAAGTGCCATCAAATGTTGGTGTCACCCAGTGAGGTAACGGCTGGAGGCCCAGATAAGACCGTCCAACTGCAGACTCAGGTTCCTCTGCTCACCGCAGCGGCAGCTTGTAAACCAGGAAAAGCGAAGGAAAGCCACAGAACAAGTCCATGTGCTGACACATGCAGTGTCATAACTCAAGGAGGACAACAGCCTGCCGATCCCGTGATGTGAGCACCCAGTAAACTCGGGATGAGTAAGAGGAGGCAGAGGACGAGCAGGGGAGGCGGGGCAAATGTAATAGGTAACACTTGTCAACATGTGATACCTGGAAACTTGAAAGAAACAATAGATCAACTCCCAGGTTCTATAAATGGGAAAATTAAAGCAATAGCAATGTGGCGTGTGGGCACCGGCTTAGACCATCTAAGTTGTTATTGTTATTGATGTTAGGTACTGTTGAGTACGGATCGTATCATATCAACCCTATATACTACCGAACAAAATATCATCTCATCCTGCATCATCACATTGGTTATGTCTGAGCCAAGTGTCGCAGTCACTGTCGATCCGTCTCGGTGAGGTTTTACCTCTTTTCCAAGGACCCTCTACTCTACCAAGCCCCTGTCTGTTCTAAGCACCCATCTCGCCTCACAACATACTCAACTCTTCTAAGAGCCGTTCTAGCTGTACGGATTTGCTTTGCATCGGCTTTCATTATTGAACCTCGATACGCTCCAATCTGCTCTGCAAAGCAAGGATAAAAACAAAACTCATTTTATCATTCGAAGGATCAAGTGAAAGAATGCACCCCAAGTGCTTAGTACGGGGCCTAGTCACGGCAATGGCGATACTGGTGGCGAACTTCCAGAGACGTCATGATGGGGCAAGCTCCATGTCTAACCCCTGAAAGAGGTCCGTTATCACCACCCTGCTGATGGTAATTAACTTGGCCAAGGTTATATAACCAGGTAGTGGAAGTCCTGAAAACAGAGTTCTGGTTTCATGAAGTCACCCATTTCTTCCATCAGCCCAGACGAGTTCCAGAGTATGGCCTTTTCAGCAGTTTTTAGATTGGGTCTCTTCAATCAGCGGTTCTCAACCTGTGGGCTGCGGCCCTTTTGGGGGAGGGAGTCGAACAACCCTTTCACAGGGTCGCCCGATTCATTACAGTAGCAAAATGACAGTGATGAAGTAGCAACGAAGATACTTTGATGGTTGGGGGGTCACCACCACCTGAGGAACTGTCTGAAAGGGTCGCGGCATGAGGAAGGTTGAGAGCCACCGGCCTAGATGCTGAGAGGAGTCATGCTCCAGAAAGTCAGTGCTGCAAATTCTTGTTGACAGATACTGCACAGTCAGCCGGAGAGAATAAGACCACTAGTCAGAAAGGAAGATGGAGAGAAGAGCCCTGGAGACAAAGCTCCCTTCCTTGGCGTGGCTCTCCCAGACGCAGACCCAGCCTGTGACAGGTGATGATAACCTTGAGAAATACTGGTGGAGCAAATTTATGGCAGGCAACCACCTCTCATAACCCAGTGAGATGGCGTCTAGGTCTTTGCCAAGAAAGAGCCACATCTAATAAGTCCTAAGAGGCCAGACCCTGAGGCATGCTGTGCTAGCAGCTATAAATCCAAGTCCACAGAGGAACCAATAATTGTGAGGGTAAGCTCATACTGGAATTGGTTTCTTGGTTTTACAATAAAAAAAACCTCACCCCATTTTTAGAATGTGAATCACAAAGTGATGTTTAGAACCACCACAATATTATCAACAGGATTGGCCAAGAGATGCTGAAAAATTCATTGAGGTCTTTAGATGACCATTTCAGAGAGAATAACTCTGTCTCTGTCCCTTATAGATCCTAAAATTGGGGGCTGGAGAATGCAGCTGGCTAATAAGTTGGGGAGTCAGAGAATCACGGAGATGGATCTGTCATGTCAATCCTCTAGAAGGTACAGGAGTCCAGAACACCCGAAAAAGCACCAGGCCCCTCTGAGGTAGAGCCACTCAGGCAGCCTACAACATCACTGCGAAGATGAGGACACACGAAACAGCAGCAAGCAAAACAAGTGCAAGAGTAACTGGCTGCTGAAGCCCACACCAGAAAAGTTGTGACAATTTACCCACCGAGAGACTTGCAAGGGCGGGAACCATCAGAGACAAGGCACGGATCTTAGATTGGAAGGATTACTGGGTTATGGACTGCTTGCATGGAAGTGTGCGAGGCAGAGGGTGAAGCTGAAGCGGAAGAACCAGGCCTCCGTCAGATGTCATTCTGGGTCAGCGAAGAGGCCACAGTCGGACAAGAGCGGTGGGTCTATGGGGGCAGGACGGAATGACCTTCAAAGCTAAGGTGAAAAGTTCAATGCAAAATGGGAATCCACGGAGGGCTGGGAAATACAGACTGACTCCAGGAAAGTGGTGCGGAAGGAAGTTACCAACACAACAGTCCCTCAGTCCGTTCCACAAAGTCGGGGGCGGCGGGCATCAGGAATTTGCGCTGGGTACTTTGTGCCAAGATCAGCCTAGGGCCTGAAGGGACAAGGAAGAGCAAGACAGAGATGTCAGGTCCAGGAGCTTACAGTGGACTGTGGGGAGGTATGGCAGTGACGTAAAACAATCACCTGTGTACTCCTGCCTATTCTGACCCGTTGTCCCACATCACAACAGAGTAAGGACCCTGGGAGACCCCTGAAGACTTGGGCTGCATCTTAAATTGGAGGGAAGATCCCTGAGCAATAAAGTGAGAGAGCAAGGGCATCCTGGGAATGAGGCACAGTGAATTACACTATGGCACTGAGTGCACAGGATGGGAGAGCTGACCACTCGAATCTTCAGAATGAGTTTGATCTCTTGAAACCACCCTCTCCGTTCTTACGCCCTTGGTTCCGTCCCTTAATGTCTCTCAGTCAGATAATTAATACTCTTCCTGGTCTCCCTGGCTTCTGCATCGCCTTCTCCGTTCCACCATCCAACCGTGTCAAAGTGACTACCTCTTTCCGTTCCTCTCTCTCGTGTCATACATATTCAGCCAGACAGCTTCTGTGAAAATCTCTGCGTGTCCACTACTTGGGGTTTAGGGCTCCTGGCAAACGCTACCCAGTAATCTGTTTGAGGTTTATGCAAAAACATCTTAAGCAGGATCTTACTG